GCCGCATGGGAGGCTTGTTATGTACGCCGACGATGCCCATTGCCCAGTTTATAGATTCAGACTCGCCAAGAAACCTGTCAGAGCTTAAATGCCGCGTAGAACAAACCCTGTCTGTAGCTCTCTGCTGGTTCACGCAAAATAGGCTAAAGATAAACCCTTCGAAGACAGAACTGCTTATCTTCAGATCCTCACGCCAAAATGATAATGTCAACTTCACCGTCAAATTTGGCGAGTCGGAAGTCGTGCCTGTGCAGTTGGCGAGGGTCCTAGGCGTCAACATCGACTCGTGCCTGACGTGGGAGCAGCATGTGGCTGCGATCACTCGCCGATGTTACTGCATTCTGATAGGGCTGGCCAGAATGCAGCGTCGTGTGCCGCGTGAGACAAAGCAGCTGTTGGTCGAGGCACTGGTATTCCCTCGTCTGCAGTACTGCATGTGCGTGTGGGGAAGCTGCACAAAGACCCAAAAGCACAGACTTCAGAGATGCATGAATTTTGGCGCCCGCATTGTCACTGGTCTTGGCTATCGTGAACACATTTCCGGGACACTGCGAGAGCTTGGATGGCGGGTGATCGAGGACATGATAACTGAGCGTGACCTGTGCGTCATGTACAACCTGAACCATGTCGAGAGCGCCCCTGAGCTTCTCCGCTCACGCATCACCCACCGCTCTGATGTGTCTGTGCGTGAAACGAGAGCGACACGTGACGGCGAGCTGGAGGTGCCGCGGGCCCGCACAGAGTTTGCCCGTCGGTCGTTCTTCAATCGGGCGGTGAGAGCGTGGAATAGGCTACCGCTGAGTGCGAGAAACGCGTCTTCTCTTCCTGTCTTTAAAAAGTGTATCGCAGATGCCTTTTAACCTTTTAAAGGGTGATGCAAATGTGGATTGATAGGAAAATGCTTTTACTTGTGCTACATGACGTGGAACACTGAAAACCCATTTTATGGATGTATTCCTAAATATATGATATGATATATGATGCTTTCGCAGTGTGTGAACGTTTTGTGAATAAAACTCGAAAAAAATTCGATCGTCTCCAAAAAAAAATTTGAACTTCGCTGCTAGAGTCATTTTCGGTCGCCGTAAATTTGCCCACGTCTCTGACCTGCGAAAAAAGCTCGGGTGGTTGTCTCCGCGTCATATGGCTGATTACCAAACCCTTGTTATCGCCCACAAAGCCATACAGCGCGGCGAACCCGAGGAATTGGCAACCATGTTCGTCACAAACAGCGCTGTCCGGGAGAGACACTCCAGGCAAGACCACCTCTTTCACCTTCCGCGACCACGGCTGGAAACGGGTAGGCGGCGGTTCGGCTATCGAGCCGCAGTTCTACTCAACAGTCTCCCAACTCAGCTGTCGCAGCTGTCTCCCGCCCCCTTTGCCCGATCTGTTAAAGCCGCGATAGTGGACGAGGCATCAACTGATCGTCGCTGACCAATGGGTTGGTGGGTGGGTGAGTTGTACCTGTACCTGGGGTAGGGGAGACCCGGGAGGTATGGGCCGGTTTTGTGAAAAGGCAATTTTCTTCCAGTGGGCAGTGGCTAGACCCGGTTTTTCACTCTGTGTACGTTAAATTGCCTTTTGCCTGCAACGTGCGCCTGATATTAGGCATCTGGGATTAACTATTTTGTCTCGAGATAACTTTCAATAAATCATGTGCTTTTTCGATCCATCAAAATACACCGGGAGGTATGGGCCATGGCCCGGGAGGTATGGGCCGGTGCCATGTTTCATATTCTTTTCTCGACAATGAGAATAATACTCGAAGCTGGTATCTACCTTGATCTATCTTAGAGCCCAGGAACCGCATAAGCGGCCAACAGCTTGCTTCATGGATGTCACTTGGGCCCATATGTATTTTGGTAAACTCAATCATGCACCATGAAATAAGATCAATAATATTTTTCTGTTCGAATGAAATTTGAAGCTAAATTTCCGACCTTGCGTGACAAAAAATAAAACTTATTGACGGGGACATTCAATGAAAGTATCTTTTTATTTATTTAGGATCACCGAGGGTGGGTGGCCCATACCTCCCGGTTAGGACGACATAATGTGCGTAGCATCTCAGCTCATAATCTTGCAAGAAAGCTTCAAATTGTCTATCCAGTCTTAACTTGCATGCTTTAAACTTTATGTTAGCGATGGTCTGACATCATAAAACGAGCCTAGCTCAAATTTATTACGAATTTTCTGTATGTACCGTATTTTACTCGAAGAGGGCAAAAACGCTTTATCACCGCTCATTGCCAAACAAGACAGAGGAAGGTTTTGAAAATCACGTGGGATGTATAACGGAATGGCTGCTACCAGTTAACGCGGTCAAATGTGTAAAAATACGCAACACTTCTTCAAAACTGCGATGGCCCATACCTCCAGGGGGCCCATACCTCCCGGGTCTCCCCTACTACGAAAGTGTCTCTGCCTCCGTGCTTTGACGTGAGTGAATGTGTGAATGCTGTGAATGTTTAGATTAGTAGCCGCGGATACGGATTCTGAGCAGTAATCGCCACGCACCTTCAGAATGTGAATCGCTCATGATTGTTCAATACAATACAATACAATACAATACAATATCGAAAACTCAAAACAGCTTACCATTTTTCTAGACATAAAATAACTTCTGTGATATGAGATAGGTTACTGGTGTAAGTTCTTAATCACGGAGCGAGCGAAGCGAGCGTAGTCTTTCCTTAGATTAACGGAAATTTCTGAGTATGAGCGGCCGGCCGTGCGGACGCTTTTGCGAGGCTTATACCTCAGCAACCACTTGACCGATTTACACGCGGTAATTTTTGTAGGGTAGTTTCATTCCTTCTACCAAGTATTGGACTATTCCCGATGCATGTGAGTGACCCCTTATGCACGTGCCACGTGCAAAACGAAGAGGTGCCAGTTTTGTAATTGTTGCAAATTGCAATATCTCGGTAACTACTTGGCCGATTGCGCTGAAAGTTGCATGTAGGTAGGCACCCACTAGGCACTGCATATCCATGTGCCAGGTTGGGGTGCTGCTGCACGTGCGCACGTGGAGGGGTCGTTTCCAAATCTCGAGAACGGCTGGACCGATGGCGCTAAAAATGTGGTACATGGTTAGGGACCAGTTAGTAGGGTGCCGTGCACAAGTCAGTTGGGACCCATTCTGCACGTGCGCACGTGCAGGGTGCCGCTTCCAGATCTCGAGAACGGCTGGGCCGATTGTGCTCAAATTTGGCACATCGCTAGAGACCGGTTAGTAAGGTGCCGTGCACAAGTCAGTTGGAGGTACCCCCTCGAAATTTCGCAGGTGCAAGGCCCACCCTATCGCATTTCTCTCCCTCTCTCTCTCCCTCTCTCTCTCTCTCTTGTTTTCTTTTCCTCTCTTCCCGTCCTTAACCCTTTACCACAGTCTTTCTTTTTGAGCCCCCTCTTTCTCCTCTCCCTCCATCTCTCTTTCTCTCTATCTCTCTCTCCCTCACTCAATCCCCTCCCAATATTCTCAACTGCCGCAGCGTTGTAGGACTCGCTACCAGACAGGTCCAGGCGCTCCCCACTCCGCAACCCTCAGCCCACACGGCCCAACCGCCCAAACACCCTCCGGCGGATGACCTCTGACCTCGGCGACCTGACCCCAGCCGACTGATCGCGTCCCTCGCCACGCCTCCGCCCCGCTTCCCCCAATACGGCGGCGTAGTCTTCGTAACGTGTGTAACAGTCATGTGACATTATTTACCTCGGTGGTTTGTTCGGCTGACAAGAGGTGGCACTAGTGGTCTATGGATCAGAGGCAACGCTACTATGGACGTCAAGGCCCTTGAGACCCCAGTTTTTTGCGATAATTTTCAAATGCGTGAACTCTGGTTGACGATATTCTGGCAATGTGTGTTTCAGAACCTACCGAAACTTTATTACTGAGGTATTTTGACGCCAAACGATTATGAAAGGTACGTACTTCTCATTCACTCGTAATGCTAAGGTCAATTCAGGCCCGGGCAGAGGATTGCGTTCGGCCACACTCGAGCCCCGCCACCAGCGCCATCTGCTCTTAATGTCATCTACTAGCGCCCGCTACCGCTACCAGCTACCGCCCACCATCAAGCCTGGATGGAGCGCGAGACGCGAGTGACCGGTCGCCGGGCAAGGAGCGCCGGAAGGGTAGGGCGGAAATTAGCGCTGACGTCATTACGTGGCTCCGCCCCATGAGCGTGTAGCCTCTACCCAAACAGCAGGTTCGTTCCGTGAAATTTAACATTACGAGTGAATGAGAAGTACCTTTCATAATCGTTTAGCGTCAAAATACCTAAGTAATTAAAGTTTCGGCAGGTTCTGAAACACACATTGCCAGAATATCGTCAACGAGAGCTAACGCATTTAAAAATTATCGCAAAAAAGTGGGGTCTCAAGGGGTTTGACGTCCATAGTAGGTAGGTTCTGCGACTTCTCGGGGCAAAGTTATGAGTGAAAAAGAGTTTTTTTTACCCCCACCCAAAAATGCTTTGAACATACTGAAACGAGGTAGGTATTCGAGAATCAGACGCCCCAACGGACCATTTGATGTATCTCGTGTCACGGAGATTGGATCGGTCTTCAAACAGGTGACCGAAAACGAGGTGATTAGTAGCAAGTGCTGGTGTGACCGTACACGGTGCTGTCTGATGGACAGCACCGTGTCGGATGGACAGTAGTCCGAGCACACAGTGCCCTCAGGTTTCCAGCGGCCGCGGTTGTCTCCCGTGTCCTGCTGTCTCCGCACCGTCGCGGCCGACGACCTTGCCGGTCGATATGGCTCGGCCGGCCGGCGGCCCGCTCCCCCCCCCCCCCTCCGCCCTCGGCTCGCGGCCTGGTCGATGGGCAGTGGCGCGGCGCGCCGCGCGGCCGCACCCGGACCTGCACCGGTCGCCGTCGCCGAGCTGACGCTATCGACCCAACCGACCGCCAGAGGATGGCAATGGCGGAGGAGGTTTCCTAGATGATGATGACGATGACTGTGATGATGGGATGTAGGTGTCGGTGGCGGCTCACCTGTCGAGCACCAGCTCCTCCAAGTGGGCCAGGTCGCAGGCGATGTACTCGAGAGCGGCATCGGTGACCCGTGTGCACCAGCTCAGGTCCAGGCTGCGCAGACCTGCCGGCCGTACGGGCAGACCCCAGCCGCGTCAAATAACTAGACCCCAGCTGCGTCAAATAACTAGACCCCAGCCGCGTCAAATAACTAGACCCCAGCCGCGTCAAATAACTACTATGCATTTCAGACCCTCTGGAACAGTCCTTTTTGGCTCTTTCTCGTTACCTATACGCTTGATTTCAACCAAACTTTGACACAATGAGTTTCAAGGCCCTACCTAATTTTTACTATTATAGTCTTTTAACAAAATATCAAAATGAAAGGCACTTGTCATTGACTTGTAACGGTAAAAATTGATCGGAAAACTCTGCGCCGTGGTAGAGGCTAGCATGGCGTAGCAGCGTCAGCTGTTGCGCCGCAGCTAAGCTCCGCCCACTGCGCCGCGACACCGAGACCGGTCATTCGCCGCTCGGGCTCAGAGGGATGCGGAGGTCTGAGCTGGAACAAGGCACGCGCTAACGCAGGTATCCTTGCGTGTATATCGTATCTCGCGCGGAGAGAATAAGGATGAAAAATGCAATGCATGTATAAAACGATAAGCACTCCTTCTAGCTACAGAATACAGATTAAGCTCCAGAATGTTATTCCTGCAAAATTAAAAGAAACATTTTCAATAATCTATGGCGAGCTTCTCCGCTGCCCTGTTTTCCTACAGACTATGGCGCATTTAAAGAATAACGATACAGAATTTACGTGCGTAGAAAGGCCTTATTTAATTGAGGATATCTACATATGTACTCGCAGTTCGTTTGTTTTTATAAGTTTTGAGAATACAATTTTATTATTTTTTGGGTAAAAATATTCAATATTTCCATAATACTTACACAATGCTTTAAAGGTAGTGTGCCAGCTTTCCTGGGCCGTATGGAGTTAATGGCCCATATAAGGAGAACCGGATTTTTAGAACTTATCCATACCTTCAAAACTCATGGAAACGTCTTAAATTCTTCAAATTTTGAGTACCCCAGTGCGAAATTCGCCCCGACGGGTTGCCGGTCGTACTCCAACCACATTTCACACCACTATGAACAATAAATGCACACACTGAAATCGCTATTACCGATATGCTCATCCAATCAAGTTTCGATAAACCCGTTCATCATCAGCTCCTGCGATTTCGAACACGCCTGTTAGGTGGTGCGGTAGACTGCGCCCAAAGCCAGGGCCCCGGTAACGTGAGGTAGCCGAGTCAGGGCAGCGTGCGCTGACCCAAGCCGGAGCCGCGCGTCCTCCCGGTGTCATGTGATAGCCCGGGGCTGCCCGCGGGGATGCGGTAGACCGCGCCCAAAGCTGCGGCCCCGGCTTGGGTCAGCGCACGCTGCCCCGACTCGGCTACCTCACGTTACCGGGGCCCTGGCTTTGGGCGCGGCTCCTGCTCATACTTTGTGGTGCGGTGGTGGTGCGTCGGGCTGCGCGCTGTGACTTCGGCCAAGAAAAATGCGTCAGCTGATCATTGTCATTTCTGCCACTTGCGTGTGGTGAAATGGGGTCATAACTTATGAGACGGCTTTTTCATATCAACTATTTTACATAAAATCATATTTCAAACCGTAAATAATGTTCGACAGCCAAATAAAAGAAACAATACCAATACAGGCTTACAGTTTAAGGCTCGACATTGTGTTGTCTACGATTAGACAGCTGATAACTCATTCCCGTACGTCGTATGGTCGTAACACTATAATGACCTTTGCTTATTGTCACATGTGCGCCTCATTCGCGATTGTTGCCGACGCCTGTTTGCAGGTGAGCCCACTACAGTTGTTATACATATCTAAAAACCGATTAACTTTTAGGCGAAAAAGGCACTATTCCAGGCCCATTTTTGATTTTTTGCGATATTAGGTAAAAACAGAAGCTTCTTATCCTAGGAAAAATAAAATGGGAAATCTTTCAAAGGTGGCACACTACCTTTAAGGATATTGTTGATAGATCTTACGCCGAAAAACAATAAAACGGGGAAAGATAGGATGACTCAATCTAAAAATGTAGATATGCAATATCGAGAGTTAATGATCTCCCATCCTTCATGCCCCCTTGTCAGTCTCTCGTCTATAATCTCTATCTCCGTCACTTATCTCTGGTCTACCATCTTTGTCTCTGTCTTTCGCGTCTGCCGTCTTTGTCTCCTGTCTCTGCTATAGAGTTTATGCATAATGTTTGCTGTCCACTATCCACCGTCTACCTTTCGTCTCATTGTTACTTTGTCTCCTCTTCCTTTTTCTTCCTTCCTCCGTCCTTATTAGTGGTTGAACAACTTATTTTAAAGTTCATGACATGCAAACAAGTGTGCCACTCCGCTGCGCCGCGCGCACCACCCGCACGCCGGCCGGTCAGACTGCGACTGCCGCCGACATGACCCGAGGCTGGACCGCAGGTGGGCGGAGCCTAGCCGCAGCGTGCCAGTGCGTCACGACCAATCAGAGGGGAGACTGCGCCCAGTCTGTATCAGCCTCTAAGCAGGCCTCTGACGACCTTAACCCTCGCCGGCACAGGCCATTTTGAGTCCTTCGACGGCACAAGGGGGGGTTGGTACGACCCCCCCCTCGCGTTTGGCCCCTGATCGAGCTAGAGCTTCGCGGAAAAAACGAGCGTGTTGCCCGTCACGAGAGGAAGCCGATGATACCCAATTTTAAGGTCCTAGGTCATCGGGTGACCTTCCAGGTCAGGTCAATGGCCCGAAAACCGGGAAAATCGGGACCTGTTAGAAAGTCGTAAAGTGTGGCTGCTATGTGGTTTTCCGGGGTGCTGATCACGAATATCGTGTTAGTTTTGATCATAGATGATGTCTTTAAGCATTTAGACCAGGTCGGGTCAGGTCAGGTCAGATCAACCGGTAGGGGAAGTTGGGGGAACGCCGAAGACTTTTTTTCTGACGCCCGTAGCACGCAAGGTAGACAACATACGCTATTCTTGTTGGCGTCATTCGAGAGGCCAGTCTTTTGCCTTTCAAACATACCAGGCGCATTTGATGAATTCGCATACCGTTAAGCGCACAAACTAAAAATATCAAAGAAGTGACTTTTTCGGCGTTGCCCCGGACTGCGGGGAAAGCCGAAAATGGGAGAAATGATCTACGGGGAATGCCGACATTTATGTTTTGCCATTTTATCTCAAACTTTATCCAGAATTCATCAAAGCTGACACACGTTTCAAGAGCTTGAGGACGCGGTGCACACTGGAAGTTATAATTGTGTGATATAATAAGAAAATGCCAGGTAAATCATTCCTTATAGGTAACAGGCCGTTGTGTCGGTTGAAAGTGTAATTTGTGTGACTAAAAATACGCGTTGCTATTCTACAGCAGTAAAGTCCACGTAGCGTGCTTTTAACACGTGCGTAATCGCACGTTTTCGGCATTACCCCAGCCAGCCATACTTTCATTTGCAGGCCCATAACTTTTCAACGTGCTGTATAAATTTCAAATAGGCAGCACACTTATGCAAAGACATGCTAAAGATTACTTGACCGAATTGGCCAGACAAACGGTAGCATAATGAGTAAAAAATGCAGCTTCAAAGGCGCATGTAGTACAAGGGAAACGTACCTTGAAAACGCTCTTGGCGCCCTCACAGTCGAAGTATTCCGAATGACGACTCGTAACAAACATGCGATAATTGTAGTCACTTAAGCTTCAGAGCATCACTGACAGGTGGCATCCATGTTTTACGGTTTTCGAAATATCTCGAATTTCGGCTTTGCCCCAACTCCGGCATTGCCCCAACTTCCCCTACGGGTTGTGACGGGTATTCGTAATACGTGTCAGCCGCCTCTGACAGCTTCGTAACATGTTACGAAGGCACCAAAACTACTTCGTAAATGTTCAAATGCTTGCTAAATTCGAATTCAGCTCCAAAAACTAGCCTAGAAGCATGCAAAACTCGAAAAAGTGAACCGAGGTCACCCAAGGTCACCAAAGGTCAATGACCTGACCTGACCTTCAGGTGACCTTGACACCCACCCTAATGCATGGGAGCAACATCAAATCACATGTTTGAACGTTTGAAACCACGAAAAGCTTGCAAACGCGCGGCTAATGCGAGCCGACATGCGCCGAACCGCGATTTCGGCCAAACATGGTCACAGAAAAGAGGTCACAGGTCAAAGGTCATTGGGGTCAGGGTCATGAAATTTTCAGGGTAGGTGTAAAATTGATCAATGCGAGGGTACTGAAAGTATCGTCGCGATCGTCCGCTTTTTACGCGAGTTATTCGCGAAAAACCTTAGGGGGGGGGTTGCATCAACCCCCCCTGTGCCGGCGAGGGTTAACATTATCATTCAATGACAAGTGCCTTTATTTTTCATGTTTTGTTAATAGACCATATTGATAAAAATTAGGTAGGGACCTCAAACTACCAATGCCAAAATTTCGTTAAAATCAAACGCATATACAACGAGAAATAGCCGAAAAGGACTGTTCCACAGGGTCTGAAATGCATAATATATGACCCCAGCCGCGTCTCACAGCCGCGTCCCACTATATTATATCACACGGGGCCGGTAAAATGTTTCATTCAGGACCGAGGGATTTGTTGAGTTTTCCGCACGAGGCCGAAGTTCGAGGGCGGAAAATTCAACAAAGCCCGAGGTCCTGAATGAAACATTCCGGCCCAAAAACTTATATCACGGAATATATAGTCTACGACATGGAATGGACCATAGACCTCTGTACGGACAAAACGAATTTTTCCTGTAACTGCTGAGTTTTTGGCTATCTGGCAATTTTAGGTGTGCTGCTGTGGTTTTGGCACTTCCGTGCTGATGAACGAGATGAGTTTTATCAAATCAACCCACGAGCCGCTGGGGGGGGGGCATAAAGTTGCCCCCCTTTACGTTTTGTGAAATATCTCTGAAACCTGATAAGCTACGAACGTGAAACTTGGCATAGCTTCAAAAAATGAATACCTAGGCAATGTTTGAGGAAAGTTTGGTGGTTGTAACACCTAAGATGACGTCACAGTGACGTCATACAGTTTTGTCGTTTTCCGATATGGACCGTTTCTGATTACGCTGAGCATGAAACTCAACTGTAAATGAAATAGACAGCACCTGCTGTCATCCTAAAACATCTATCTACACTTTCATCTAGTTTCTGACCAATAATCGACCCTTTATATTCGGTTCCATATATCTGATGTATCGTGAGGAATATGAGAGTCGTAAATTTATAATTTCACTTATGACGTCACTGTGACGTCATTTCAAATGGGATCAACACCAAATTTGGACACAACCTTGGCTGGGTATTCAAGAAGATGTGTGCAAAGTTTCGCTTCTCTATCTCTTCGCGTTGCGACGATATCGTCGCAGAAGTAAAGGGGGGGGGGCAACTATATGCCCCCCCCCCAGCGGCCGGCGGGTGGCGCGGAGGCCCAGCGGCCGCCGGGTTAAATAACTTTTGTTTAATTAAGTTAAGCGTTCTTTTGAGCATAGTTAACGTTGTATAAGTGAAAAGAAATAACCTCATGCTCATTAATATCGAAATTAAAATTGTTAATCAAAAACATATTTTTGTGAATGTCACTTCGGTCGGTGACATTCACGACACGGAGGATACGAAACACTGCTTAGCTTTCCCATCAATTCTGCATATTAATCCACCGACGAAGTGACATTCACAAAAATATATTCTGGATTAACATTTTTAATTTCGATATCAATGAGCATGAGGTTATTTCTTTTCACTCTTATAAATAAAATTACTATTATAAAGCTCTAAAACTATGTATGGATGTATGTGAGTCTGTCTCTGTTGGCGAGTTATTGCTCCGAAACTTTGCGAACTGCGCCGGTGAAATTTTCAAAGTCAAAAGCCTGCAAAAATTGGTTGTATTAAAATTTAGAGCGCGCAAGACGCTCGGTTTCCACACTTGGAGGAGCATCTTTTGCTACATTCAACTTGCATTCGGGTAGGTGCTTTCATCGCCAGTGCTTTCATCGCCGGGCTACCAGGCGCCGTTAGCAGCACAATTCGGGCCGACACGCGCACAGAAGGCCTGGATCTGGCCAGCATCCTGGCGCGGGCAGTGTTGAGTGACGAACGTGTTCTCGGCAGCAGCGGGTGTGAGACGCCAAGACACCGGCGGGTCGGTCAGACCAGCGGGTCGCCACGGTCCACGGCGGACCGGGCACGGCGTTATTAGACCTGCAGCAAGACCGGTCACCTCGCCAGGAGCTGCATAAACGTCGAGGAAACAGCGTCAGCGCGAGCGCCGTCTCCCAGTCAGTAGCTCGCGCACTTCCGGTCGTGATATTTACACGGAGAGCACTGTTCTTGTGGTGTGGTCGGCCTATCACTTATCTCCTCCGTGGCCGGATGACTGCGGCCGGCGGCGGCGTGGCTGAAGCGGCGAGTGAATGATCTGAAGAAAGGCTGGGATGACTGACACCACAGATGATGTCGAGCTTTCGTTTTCGCTCTTTCTGAACCGAGCGACATCACTTTTATGCCAATTCATTTACTTTTTGACGGTGGGAGGGTCCCTTTAACGGAAATTTCTAAGCATGAGCGGCGGCCGGCCGGCTGGCCGTGCGGACGCTTTTGCTTATATCTCAGTAACCACTTGACCGATTTACTTGCGGCAATTTTTGTAGGGTAGCTTCATTCCTTCTACCACGTATTGGACTATTCCCGATGCATGTGGGTGACGCCTTATGCACGTGCCACGTGCAAAACGAAGAGGTGTCAGTTTTGTAGCAATTGCAATATCTCGGTAACTACTGGGCCGATTGCGCTGAAACTTGGCAAGTATGTACAAGTTTGGCATGTACTGTAGGTAGGCACCCACTAGGCAATGCATTTGCATGTGCCACAATTGGGGTGCTGCTGCACGTGCAGGGGTCGATTTCAGATCTCGAGAACGGGTGGACCGATTGCGCTCAAATTTGGTGCGCGGTTAGAGGCCGGTTAGTTGGGACTTGCGTGCCATGCAAAAGTCAGTTGGGACCCATTTTGCAGGTGCGCACGTGCAGGGTGCCGCTTCCAGATCTCGAGAGCGGCTTGGCCGATTGTGCTCAAATTTGGCACATCGCTAGAGACCGGTTAGTAGGGTGCCGTGCACAAGTCAGTTGGAGGTACCCCCTCGCAATTTCGCACGTGCAAGGCCCACCCTCTCGCTTGCTCCGTTAGTCGCCCCAAAAGGCGTTATACTGGTAATAATATTTATAATTACATGGCTCGTATGGTAACTGGGTGTGTATTAGAGATGTCAATCGGATACCAACTTTTTGGTATACCGATACCAAACCGATACCAACTTGGTATTTGGTATTTTGATCCTAATGTTGTTGGTATTTTGTTGGTATTACGAATCCGGCTAATGTATAAGAGGATACGAATTCGGTAAAAAGTTGGTATTTCCCTCATGTTCCCAAGTTGGTTTGGTTTCGGTATTTTTCATGGTTTTGATTGGCATTTGATTTGGTATCGGTATCCTGATTTTCCGTTATTGACATCACTAGTGTGTATTGTGTAATAATGTTGACTGTTACCGCAATTTTCACAATTAATTTCCCTCTGCAGGATGACTTATTTTTGTTAATGATACCATGACAACGGGCAACAGTATTCTGCGGGCGCTTTAAAAAAGGCTTAGGTAGAATTTAAAAAAAAAAAACACGTTATGGGTTTCACTCGGTTGGTGGACTTCATTGCTGAAGGTTCATACGTATATCTGCAGCTAGGACAGAGTTGCTCCGTATTCATTTATTTGAACCACGTGAATTAGATGAGCTCCTCTTTTCACGCAGAACTGATGGTACGAAACAGGTGATAAAATCGTCTGGAGACATATCCCAGGAATTTTTAACAATTAAAGACCGAAAAATGGAATATCTGCAGTACAGTAATTCTGTTCTCGACGACACTGTAAAGGAGTTTTTCCTTACTGTCAAGCGCAAAAATAGGGTTGGCTACAAAACGAAAAGTCTCCACTCACTGAAGTGCGGAATCAGTTTATCACCAATGAACTAGGAAGAGACATCAGTGAAGGAGGTGCTTTCCTTCGAGTACTGAGGCTTTCAAGGTTACTATGCACCTCCCCATCCCGTCCGTCAAAGAAGGCTGGGCGAGGATCAGTTGAGCACAAGAAGCCGACGAGCCGAGGTGACAGAGAAAAGCCGGCTATCAGACCTTCTACGCCTACAACTTCAGCTTCAACGTCACCCACGAGTAGCTCTAGCTGTGGAACATGGAATGTGTTATGTCATGCTATACCTTCATCCAATGAGATTCAAACAAATTGTGTATTATTATGCTGACACGTTTTGTTACGGAGCGAGCGAAGCGAGCGGAGTCTTACGTAGAATAACGGAAATTTCTGAGTATGAGCGGCCGGCCGGCCGGCCGGCCGGCCGTGGTCACGCTTTTGCGAGGCTTATATCTCAGCAATCACTTGACCGATTTACATGCGGTAATTTTTATGGGGTAGCTTCATTCCTTCCACCAAGTATTGGACTATTCCCGATGCATGTGGGTGACCCCTTATGCACGTGCCACGTGCAAAACGAAGAGGTGTCACTTTTGTAATTGTTGCAATATCTCGGTAACTACTTGGCCGATTGCGCTGAAAGTTGGCATGTAGGTAGGCACCCACTAGGCACTGCATATCCATGTGCCAGAGTTGGGGTGCTGCTGCACGTGCGCATGTGCAGGGGTCGTTTCCAGATCTCGAGAACGGCTGGACCGATGGCGCTCAAATTTGGTAGATGGTTAGGGACCGGTTAGTAGGGTGCCGTGCAAAAGTCAGTTGGGACCCATTTTGCACGTGCGCACGTGCAGGGTGCCGCTTCCAGATCTCGAGAACGGCTGGGCCGATTGTGCTCAAATTTGGCACATCGCTAGGACCGGTTAGTAGGGTGCCGTGCACAAGTCAGCTGGAGGTACCCCCTCGAAATTTCGCACGTGCAAGGCTCACCCTCTCGCTCGCTCCGTTAGTCGCCCCAAAAGGCGCTATACTGGTCATATAGTTAAAAGATGATAAATAAAGTTAGCGCGAATAGGTAACCACGAGCCGGGGTGGGCCGTGCAATAAAATGAATACTGTATGGGGTAGCGGGCAATAAGCAAACACCATTGCCCTCTGTGACGTCTCTGTAGCCCTCAGGTGAAGAGCAAGCATTATTGCCATCAGCGACGCCTCGGGCAATAAAGCATTGATCGGTCTTCATTCACCCCAGGGCTACAGTGACGTCACACGGGGAAGTATTTTTTCGATTGCCCGTTACTCCATACAGTATTCAGTATACGCATTTACGCTATTTCAAACTTACCTTTCAGGTTTTCCGCTATGACTTCGATGCCCTCATCGGTGATTTTAGAGCAGCCTGACAGGCTGAGTACACTGAGGTTCGGTAGACTATGAACTGAAACACAGACCCGAGCACATGGTCAGACCATTCTGAACTGAAACACAGACCCGAGCACATGGTCAGACCATTCTGAACTGAAACACAGACCCGAGCACATGGTCAGACCATTCTGAACTGAAACACAGACCCGAGCACATGGTCAGACCATTCGGAACTGAAACACAGACCCGAGCAAATAGTCAGACCATTCTGAACTGAAACACAGACCCGAGCAAATGGTCAGACCATTCTGAACTGAAACACAGACCCGAGCACATGGTCAGACCATTCTGAACTGAAACACAGACCCGAGCACATGGTCAGACCATTCGGAACTGAAACACAGACCCGAGCAAATGGTCAGACCATTCTGAACTGAAACACAGACCCGAGCACATGGTCAGACCATTCTGAACTGAAACACAGACTCGAGCACATGGTGAGACCATTCTTAACTGAACATAGACCCGAGCACATGATCAGACCATTCTGAACTAAAACACAGACCCGAGCACATGGTCAGACCATTCTGAACTGAAACACAGACCCGAGCCGACGGTTAGACTCGGTTTCTTCTCGACCCTGGACGATGGATCGGTGAATCCGGAGGCAGTGCGCAGTGCCTATGTACCTAATTACTGAGCTGCTAAATGAACCCGCGCCCTGCGCGGGGGTGTTTGAACCCCCCCCCCGCGTGGTTTTTCGCGAACATCCACCGCCGTCTCTGGCACAGCTCTGCATACATCTTGTATGCACATGCTATGAAAATTTCAGACCAAGGTCACTCAAGGTCAGGTCGCTAGGTCAAACAAAGTCACCTCACCTTATAAAAAAAAGTTTCAATGTCTGCCATAGCCACACCGAGTGCCCGAGTACTTTGAACTTTTCAGCGATTGATAAGAACAACATTATGTACAAAATGTATGTCTCGGAATTTTGATATCGGTGACCTACAGTCGGGTCACTTTTGCGACCCCTCCATTATAAGTCAATGAGAGAAAATTGAAAAGCGCCTCTTTTGGACGAACGTCATTCTTAACACTCGGGTAAAAATGACACAATGAACTGGAAAATGGCATCAGTGACCCCTTTCTTGTCCCTCAGGTCACGAATGGTAGCCAACAGTTTTTCGCTAATAACTTTTCATAGATGTATGCTAGAGCGGTGAAAACATCTAAGATATGTTCAATTCGACGATACGGATCGACTGATATGCCATATGATCTTTTTCCGGTCAGGTCACGACCTTGACCTGAGTTCCAATTTTCAAGTTGATATTTCAAGACCAAATTTTATTTCATTCGATGCGTCTTGACGAGAGGAAGACGATGCCTGAGTAAAAATAAGCTCGTGCAACGTTTGAGTCAGACGTTATTGCTGAAAAAAATATTCCAAAAAATCGTTACCCCCTGCAGGCAAAACCATTGACCGTAGGTCAAAGCTGAGAGGAATTATCAGAAAGAGCGCTAATAGGGCTATGAAATGCGCTTTTCCGGGGCGCTGTAATTGTATTGGTTTCCGGGTAATGCGCCGGTTTGTTAGACATTGTCGACATTCCACCTGAAAATCGGCGACATTTGGCATTCGATGACCTCTCGTGACCTGGCATTTGACCTGACCAAAGAAGTGATAGAAATGATTTAGTCATTATTTTTGACGCTCTTTCGAATGCCGCCTTCCCCGTAGCGCTATGTGGCCAGGAACCGAGTTAGAGTGGATATCAAATACTCCCCCACCAGCAGGGCGTGGAAATCCAGGAGCCCCAGTGCACCGTGTTTTAACTCGGGCCAAAAACTGGCCAGGACGCGAAACATCAACTATTTTTAAACGTTTTCATTTGGCCACTATCGTGTTCAAAAATGATCAGAGCATCTTCAGCGACGGAAACTTGTAGTCTCTTTACTTTTGAAAACGTTGAAAATGTACAACAAAGTCAGACAACTCTCACAAGCTAAACTTCGGCGCACTTTAAATGATCGTTAGTCTCCAACGTTTCGTTTGAGTCCAAAAACACGTCTGTATCTCCTATAGTTTCTTAGTTACGACCCCTGGCCAGTTCTGGCCCCGAGTTAAGATATAGGCAGTGGAGCATCGGTCAAGCTTGATCCGCACTTCACTCCACAAGGCCTCTTCTAAGGAATTTTCACTGGAGCGGGAAGGAGGGGGCAGAGGCTAAAGGGGCGAAACATAAGGTACCTCAAATCCTGTTTTATACTCATCGGATTTAGGCCACTTATTTTTCGTCACAGTTCTCAAATGACGATTTTTTTCGAAAAGTAAAGTAAATAAGTAGAGGTCGGTACTATTGGCGCCGAACACTGGCTTTGAGGCCCTGATTTTTCGCGATCACTTCTGAATGCGTGGACAATTTTCAATCATGTTCATGAACTAGCCGTTTCAAAACCTGCCAAAACTTTTACTTCAAGTAGAGTTTCTTGTCGCTCTAATATTTGTGGCACAGTGCCATTGACTCGTAATGTTAACCTTTTTCATCCTGGATAGCGGCTAATTCATGCGTCATGACATAGGTCATCCGCCTACCAGGAGCGGCGGTGACCCTGCCCATCAGCGACCTCTGTACAAACGACACTCCTGCCATCTGTAATGGTCTATGAATTTCGCTGATGCTTCACAGTGTATGAATTGACACGGTCACGGAATAGATAAATAGTAAATTTTTGGCAACAGTTATAGGACCATTAACCCATAAACCTACTATTCGCAAATGCTTCGAACAAACGCTTCTTTTTCTCTCTCTCTCCTTCATTTATTTGAACATCTAGGAAGTAATACACACACAATAAGTAAGCGCACATTAGGCATGGAGCTGGCACGGTTCTTTTAGTTTATACGCATCAGGAGCGCAAGCATAACTTCAGTGCCGCGTGTGTCCTTTCAAAGCTGCCTAGGCGACGCATTTTTTTTTTTAACGGGCCGCGAGCCCCCGCCCGCACCCCCGGAAAATCATCTTTCCCGGGGGTGCCCCCTAACCACCGCCCGGGCGAGGGGAGCGCCGACCCGACCCGACAGGCCGGCGCTCCGCCCGCCCGGTCCCTTTCAAGTGGGACCGGTACCCAGGTTGCCCGGATGGGTCATAGGGGCGGGGGCCCAATGCTCGGCAAGCTTAGGGCTCCGCCACAGGCCGGCGTTCAAACACAGTAACGTTCAACAATCTTCCGTTCAAACACAACAAACAGTAACCTAAGTGAGCAAGAAGCAACCAAACAAACAAGTTTTCAAACAGACAACATAACCTACACTCTTAAAGAAACGGAATGATTGCATTTATGTATGTGTGGGCATTTCTGTTTGTACTGGGTTGTGTTTGTGACTGTGTGTGTATATGCATGTGTCGGTGTGCTTGTGCAATGTGTATGTATCAGTTTAGGTGCTTGTGCTTGTGCGTGTGCGTGTGTGTGTGCGTGGGGGTGTGTCTGTGTGTATGCTGATGTGTGCACCGATTGTTTATTATAATAATAATAATAATCCATTTATTTCGCACCGATATTTCACGGTACATATTCACACATAAGAATACACACCAACACAACACACGAACATGCAGACATAGCACAGCTGCGTTTTACCCATTAAGTCAGACATCTAGGTATCAAGATCTAGGTGGTCCCGCCTTGGTCCCGCCTCATCATGCGTTCATTGACTATACGCTCAATGTTCGACATAAATATGTTTTGTATATATTGATATAGACAAGTAGAAAAACACGGAACAAATAGTGCATGGACGCGTTTCGATTATTAAATCTTCATCAGCATGACATAATCACAGAGAAAACAAGATATAGCACACAAACATTCTGTTCGATTCGCCCCGGCTCCCGGTCCACACACTAGCTCTCGTGTCGGTCAACTGTATTGGCTCTCGAGGGGACGACCGGTCAGCCCCGGTGGCCGGCCGTGCCTCGGGCGATTAGAGTGGCCGAAATCAAACCCACAAGTCCGCACATAACACCTCCCCCCAGATAACTATCCCATCACCTCCCCCGCAAGACGTAAACACAGAGGTACAAAGTGATTAACGTCTAACGACAGAGCACTGAGCAGGCACATAACGCCATTAACAGAAACAAAAAAAAAAACTTCCAGAGGCGGAGGACGAGGTCTCCCGGCACCACGCGGGGTGTGGGATGACATATGTCGGACAGTAAGCGATGCGGTATCACGGTATCGTCTGGTATGACTTAGTGCCCCAGCTCACAGATAGATGTTTTGTGCGCTGGCGCTGCCGGTTGCTGCGTCGCGGCTCCGGTGCGTCCGCTGGTGCCGCGGGTGCGTCGGTGAGCGGTGCTGGGGGCTCTCCGACGCCGTCGACAGGCGGCAGCGGAGGCGCAGGCCGCGGGCTGCCGGCGGTCGCCTCTCCGTCCGGCCGGCGCTGCTGCGGTGGTGGAGATTGGGGCTGCGGTGGCGGAGACTGGGAGGCGGCCACGCTCTGGGGTCGCAGGTATCGCCGATTCCGCCACATGAGTCGCCCGCTGGGCAGTCTGATGTTGAAGTCGCGCCTGCTCCCCACGCCGGTCACGGTGCCGGTACGGTCCCATACCTTCGTGATAGGGTCTTGCACTATGACCTTTTGTCCCACTCGGAGTGTTGGGTGTGCTCGCGCAGTCATGTTGTATCGCTCTTCGGTTTGGCTTCTCTGCTGTCGAGTTCTGGCATCACAGGTGTCCGCAGCCTCTTGCCACTGCGCCGCAAACGCGCGGTGGTGGGCCGGAACTGCCGACCTCAGCGGGTGGCCAAATAACACCTGCGCTGGAGAGCGTCCGTCCGCGCGCGGCGTATTCCGAAGCTCGAGCAGAGCGTGGACGAACTCGTCGGTGTCGAGATCACCGTGCTGCGTCGTTTTCTTGATGAGCCGCTTGACGTTCTTGACGGCGGCTTCTGCATGTCCGTTCGACTGTGGGAAGTGTGGCGTGGAGATTTGATGAATGACTCCCCATTTCTTCATGAACTCGCGGGTATGTCGCGCTGTGAACTGTCCTCCGCCGTCAGTTCTCA